TCACATTTAACAAAAATATAATATAGGTTTTAGACCTCCATGGGAAAAACGGGGCAACGATTGGTATGGACATCGACACCACAATCAACCAAATTAGTTATAGTTTGGAGTTGATTTAGAGAAGCCCTCAAAAGTACACCACTTTGTCACTGAATTCAAATTCTCCGATAATAATTAATTAATATGCTTTCTAATGGAACTAGTTACAAAATCATCCGCACCATCCAAGTCCCAAATCAATTGTCTCTTATAAGGTGACATTTCTAAGGAAAGCTTCTAAACCATGAATTTGGTAATGATCTACTCCACCTGTTGTATCCTGACACCAATTCCCGACCCAACTATTATTTACCCATCTATCTATAATGAAACTATCTCTATCATCCAAGTAAAATAACTTTGAAACCGACTTATGAAAGGCATACCACCAATCTAAACATGACTCTAAATTTTAGCATTAAACCCATTTCCAACCTTTTTTCTAAAATTGGAAAATAAGATAATACATTTTGCGTGTTATTTTGTAGTGAAAGCCACAATCCTCGACCACCCCCAACACCATGGCTATGACTTTCACAAACATGAATCCCACAATCAATATCATGCAACGTCTTTATCATTCTACTCCACAAAGCACCTTAATTTTTCAAAAACCTTAGTCTCCATTTCTGAAGTAAGGCATGGTTGAACGCTTTCAGACTACCAATCATAAGGCCACCATTATCTTTTGACGGTAAAATAAGGTCCCACTTGACCTAATGCAAATTTCTAGAATTCGATGTATTGAACTTCTCATGATCGAACTTATAAGAAATACATCCATTCAACCAAAAGATTGAACCAATCGAATAACTGTGACTATGATATCACTCGTTATGTAGGGAAGCAAAGAAAACAAAATGACAAGAGAATTTACATGTTTCAGGCAATTTGATATATGTCCATGAGCATGAACTACACACACACACACACACACACATATATATATATATATATATATATATATATATATATATATATATGTGTGTGTGTGTGTGTGTGTGTGTGTCACACCCAAAAACTAAGAACGGAGGAAACATTCTGGGGCGGAGGACGTCATGTAAAGTATCACAACAATGCAAAGTAGTAAACAAGCAACAACATCATCCATTGCATTAATAGTATAATTTTAAATACAAGTGCGTTATTTCATAGAATAAAACAACATAATGAATAATCAAGATAAAAGACGAGTCTTGACTACTCCGCCTTCACAAAACCTAGTCGTCGTACATGTCTATTTGTGACCTGAGAATACAAGTTATTTTGAAAGCATAGATCAACAATAAAGCTAGTGAATTCATAAGTATTAATGTGCCTTTGATTTGTAAAACTGTAAAGAAAGACATGTAAATGTTTGAAGAAAAGTCCGTATAAGTATGAAAACCCTACAAAATCTCTATTTCCTACTAGTATAAAATGTAGTCTTCTACCAAGACCCGACTATTTTGAAGGTTTGAACCTTTACATGAGTGAAGGTTTTTCCCTTGTATAACTATTATTATTCAAATCTAATCTACCTCATCGATTATCTGAATGTGACACAAAATAAAGGTAATAAGGAAAATAATATGCTAACTGAAATCGTATACTTTTGTACTAAGATATTCATGGTGTGGTAACTCGCCGAACAGTACAACTGTAGACATCCGTTGATGTGCATTTTCCCTACTGTAGCTAACAACCTTGGGTGTAGAATGGTCAGTCCCGTATCGTATGTAATAGTATATATGTAATAATATCTATGTAATCGTACTTCTGTAATAATATGTAATAGTATCTTTTCATATAGTATGTAATGCATTAGTATAGACTCATGAATGAAATGACTCTTGTGTGATTCCTTGTACTTGGAATAGTAAGTCGTATATTCTAACTATACCTATTATAGTTACTAGTAATGTACGTGTATAACTGAAAGTATGCCTTTGCTACCTTAAGGTACTGAATTGACTGATAGAACTTTTATGTCTATATATGTATACATGATATATAACTAATATTTAGACGACATTCGGATAAATAACCGATACCCTAAGGCCACATCCAAATAAGGAAAAGGAATTAAAGTGAGCTAGCAGTCCTAAGTCCTTTAAACATTACTTATATAACTATACATATATATAGGCATGCAATTGACAATATAAAAGTATAAAAGAAGTTTTGTAAAACCTTTGAAAAGTTTAATAAATAAGAATTGATGACTTAATGTCCGTTTATAAAATGATTTGAAAACAGTTTGTTTGATAAGAACATTTTAAAGTATAAGAAATCCTTTGTTTGAAACACAATTGTAACAGAGTTTAAAAGGAAAGTTATAGTATGTATGACAGTTTGATAAAGAGTTTAACATGTAAAAACGTTTTGGTAAGTCATTTGGAAGTAGTATACTGAGTAAACAACTAAAAGTGTAGTAAATCCATTTGTATGCTAGTTATTAATCATATGTGATTGATATAATAACTAGCATGATTCAACTTCTATTCCCCCCCCCCTAAAAGCATTTATAAACATTTAAAAGGTGAATTAAGGGGTATGAACTCACCTGTAGTGAGTGGATCGTATGGAAGTGTCAGATAAGTGCTATATGTCAAGTGAAGACTTGAACACACACAATGATCCTAATAACATATAAAGACATATGTATGTATACAATTAGTGATTATAACACTAATTTGACAAGTATAAACACCCTAATGTGTGGAAAACACTTTGGTCAAAGTGTTAGGAGGCCATTGGGTTGTAACAAAGGAGTGTAAGGCATTGTTATTGAGTTTATGGCCCAAGGACCATACTTAATGGAGTTTACGGCCCAGGGGAGTTTACTCCTGGCCGTAAACTCTCTAAAGGGTCTTATTTAGAGGCTTAAAGGTATGATATCTTATGTGGTTAAGTGTTCCAAGGTTAAACAAGAGGCTAGGCGAGTTTAAGGTCCAAGAATTGACCTTAACTTATGTTTACGGCCTGGGGACCACTTCCCCATGAGTTTACGGCCATAAACTCATGGTATGAAGTACCATTTTGATGTTTGAGGTCCTTAGCTCAATGCTGGTTGGTTCTAGGCTAAGTTTGGGGCATAAGGAAGGAAAAGAGGGCATCATTGCACCCTTAAAGGGAGTTTATGGTGTTGGGATATCCTTGGCCGTAAACTCTCTATTCTCGATGTTTCTAAGGCCTAAACATGTTAAACCTAGTACATAACAAGTTAGAACAAGAGTACTTACGAACTAGGAGCTAGAATGGTCGGTTCTGGCCAAGAACACTAGTGTGTGTTCTTGGTGTTCTTGGTGAAACTTGAAGATCTACACAAATGGAATCATTTCACGGATGAAATCATGTAAGATCACTAGATCAAGTAAGATATCAACTAGTTAGGGCAAGAAACTTACTAGTTTTGAAGATCGGGGATGAAGATCGGGGTGATAGTTAAGAGGATTTGGAAGAAAATCAGCCAAGGAAAGGAAAGGAATGAACAAATGGCCAACACTTCATCATATAAATTGAGTTTACGGCCCACATGGAGTTTACGGTCGTAAACTCCATTGTCGTGGCCGTGAACTCATGGTCAATATGTTTTATGCTTGTTCTTTGTACTATAGCTTCAGTAGATAAACCCGGACACTTATCCCTTAAGTGTACAAGGCTCAGAACACTCAAACATACTCCAAATTGTGCTAAATGATAGCAGGAATGAGTTTGACTTTCAATGAAGTGTTTGACTGAACTGGATAGAAAATTCCGGGTTGTCCCTATATATATATATATATATATATATATATTATATATATATATATATATATATATATATATATATATATATATATATATTATGTTATGCAACTGTATCAAGTGATATATTGGGAACTCGAGCTACAAACTTTTGTAACAGTAAAACACTGAAAATTATAAGGCTGAGCCCATATACAACAAAATCCGAAATAAGAAAAATAAATTTAGGTATGATAGTCCTCAACCTACTCTAAACATTTGTTTGTTTGTTTGTTTTTTGCTCGTGCCAACTCATAAATCCTTTCACTTTTCGAAATTCCAAGTCGTGTTCTAACAAACTTAAATAATCTCTAATGTTTTTCTGTGTTTCAAAGTGTTTTATATTTTATTTTCGTTGTCTCAGAGTGTTTCATATTTTATTTTCATGAACAATGGTTGAAGTGGAATTCTTTTAGTTGAATGTCCATATAAGCATTTAAAAGTTGAAGAAATAAAATGTTAATCGACTAAAAAGTGGCTATTAATTGCATGTAATAGTTTTAATTTGAAACAGTGTTGCGTATCTATTCTAATAAATAAAAATATTTTTTTTCCACATGTTACACTCTGATTGATTTTGCCACATGTCAGTTTGTGGTTATTTTTAAATAATTTTTTCCACATGATATTTTGTAGTTCTTTCATTTTTATTAAATTTCTCATAATATTTAATTAAATTTATTAATTGTAATAAATATAATAATAAATGGATTTCAATTTCATTAATTGATTTTTCTTTTAATTTCTAAATTTCTAAATTAAAGCTTATTACTTTCCTTTGTTTATTCATCTAAATTATTTGTTTAAATTTAAAAGAGGAAAAACACTTTAATTTTAATAATTCAATATTTTTCTAATTTTTCTTATAAATTCAAACTTTTCAAATGTTAGAATTTTATATTTAATTTTTTTTTTCAATAGATTCATGTAATACATGTGTCTTACACCTAGTTTTATTATAAATAAATATTGTTGCATTAATTGAAAAAAAGAAAATGTTAATAAATATAATAAATAAGTAATAAATCGTTTTAAAATAAACCACTTTAGCTAACATCTATCCGGATACTACTTACTAGGGTCCCATACAACATATGATTATACCCAATTTTCCTTTTGTTTATAAATATGTGATTTGCCATTTTTAAAACTAATAGTATAACTTTTCAAATACCTTTACAATTTTATTATATTTTGACATCTTTTTACACTTTTTCTATATTTTGTGTTTACATTTCCCAACACTAAATCCTTATTTTGATGGCAAAGAAGATGTAGTCTTCATCAACCTTTTCTATTATAAATCAAGAAATTTGTGGTATTCAAAAGTAGTATGTACTCCGAAAAAAAATGTTAAACAGTTTCATCTGAGCTGTCCACGTCAATCCGTCTTAAGGTCCACGTGGAAGGTCAACCGGGGATTGAAATTGCAAATGGTTAGAGAATAGGTACCCAAGTGTCAAATACCAGATCACCTCTTTGGCTCTTCGTAATTGTAAGTATTTAAAGGATCCTTAGTAGACACCAAAGTTTCATATTGTGGAGTAACAAGCCAAACTTTACAAACTCGATAAGCTTCAATGGGGTGGATAGAGTATTACAAGCCAGTGATAGTTATGTTGGTGTTGCAGTTTACATATGCAGCATTGTCAGTATCTGCGAGAGCTTCTCTCTTGCAAGGATTGAGCCCAAGAGTTTTTGTTTTCTATAGACAAGCTTTCGGAACTTTGTTCATCACTCCTGTTGCTTACTTTTTTAGGTAGTTTCTAACACAATCTTAATTGCTCCATCATTCATAAACTTCTTCTCAAAATATAATCTTTCTTTTTTGATCGTTTTATGATATACATGTAAACCCCACCTATATATCTAAACCATCTCATAGTTTATCATATACCAAGATTTCAAATTTTGTTACTTGTTCATGTATCGTAGGACCGAAACAAAGAGTAGTTCTATGGGATGGAAGAGCTTCTCCTTGATCTTCATTGCAGCCTTAATCGGGTAATTTATTCTTTTGTTAGACGTTTTTTTAATATAAAATGAGCCAACCCCATAAGTTAATTGCTACAAATTATTTTAACCATATAATAATAATTATGTATTATTTTTGTTCAAAAACACTTGTATTCTTTGTTTCAGAGTAACAGGCAACCAAATGATTCAATATGAAGGCATGTACTTGGCTTCATCATCAGCAGCAAGTGCTTTGGCTAATATTATTCCAGCCATCACTTTTGTTGCAGCATCCATTGTTGGGTATATAACCGAATTAATATACAAATTAATCATATATTAAAGTACATACAAATTAAATCACAAATTAAGTTATTTTATTTTCATTTCAGATTTGAGCCAATCGATATTAGAAGCTTCAGAACCATTGCTAAAATATTAGGGACAGTTGTGTGTGTCACCGGTGCAATTACAATGTCACTCATCAAAGGCCCCAAGCTTCTAAATGAACAGTTGCCTTCATCAAATTCACTTTTGTTAAATCCAATTGGAAGTGATAATCTTTGGCTTGTGGGTTGTTTATGTCTCTTTGTTGGCTGTTGTTGCTGGTCATTTTGGTTGATAATTCAGGTTGGTATATTTATATTTATATATCTAACACTATATAATGTTTATTACTGATTTTATGACACAAACTATTTAGATTTGTCTTTAAGTTGTTATTACAAGTTTACCGGATTATTTATATATATATTTAATAGGTACCAGTCACTAGAAACTACCCTGACCACTTATCTCTATCAGCTTGGATGTGTTTTATTGGGACGATTCAATGTGGAATTGTTACATTGTTTACAGATCCATACTTGGAGGCTTGGAAAATCAAATCGTATTTTCAACTTGGAACTTGTTTATATGCGGTAATTATTAATATAAGAGAAATTAATTATCCTTTTATTATTTTTTTTCTTTTAATATCGTGTTCTTAAACACTTAAGATTGTGACACTTGTCATATTTATTAAAATTAATAAATTTTTATTAGATTAGTTGTAATCTAAAAGTGGTAGGAGAATGGGTAGGAAGATTAAGAAGGAGGATATTTAATTTCTTTTTGTATAATTCAAAATAAGTTGGTTCTTTTTTAAGTCTGAATTGTTAAGATTAAACTATATTTGTAACGGTTATAAATGAAAATTTAGGGTATTGTTGGTTCGGGGATTTCCATATTTGCACAAGCATGGGTTATCGAAAGGAGGGGTCCAGTATTCTCAGCAATGTTCAATCCTTTAAACACAATAATTGTCACCATCTTCGCTTCAATATTTATACAAGAACAGATATACGTTGGAAGGCAAGTTGAAGTAGAATAATTTTGAAATTATTGCTATTTTATTTTTCTTCCGAAAAAAAAATTAACATGCTTTTGTGACATGCTAATATTATCAACATCTGTTTACAAGAAAAAAAAAACAATCTTAATTTAGTTATGATTATATATAGCAATTTTAACACATTGGTAACTTATTTGATGCAACATTTGACACATATATTGTTTTTACATTTGTAAAAGTTTTTTTTTTTTAATTACCTTTTTACAAATTCTGTTATCTCTTTTTTACAATTTTTTTCATATTGTTTTTATATATTTTTTTTCTTTCAAAAACGTTTTTATATTATTATTATTTTTGAATTACATCTACTGCTATCCTTATGGGGCTAGGAGGGCATAGCCCTACTTCCTTTTTAACATATTTAGGGTTTGTTTGTGTTAGTTTTTTTTTTTTTTTTTAATCAAATAAGTGATTTTTAAGAAAAGTGTTTTATTAATTTATTGTTTGTAAGAAAAACTGTTTTTTATAAATAAAATGACTAAAAAGTTAGGATGTTTTAACTTTTTAAAATCTTTATTTTTTTTTTTCTATCTATAAAACTGTTTTAAAAACGTTTTTTAAATACACAAACATTTTTTTTAATTTATTAGCTTTTTGAAAAGCTAATAATGTAATAACCTCTTTCATAATCTTTTCCAAACACCCACTTACTACAAGTTTTGCAACAACAGTAGTTTTCTCATAAAGCATTTTAACATATTTAGTTCTAGCTTTGTAATAATCGTTGTTTTCTCATTATTAATCAACTAATTTATTTATAGATTACTTTAGTTATATGTTTATTTGTAATATTATATTTGTTTTTCTTATTATTTTATATTAAACATTTTATATATGATTAATATAGTTTATTTAATTATCAACTTATTTCCTCAAGCTTTTTCATTCATGAACAAGTTGATAAGACAATAAGAATCTTTATTAACTCTTGATTTCTGATCCAGGTTGTATTTTTTTTGTCAAAATAATTTGTTGTTTAACAAAAAAAATTATTAATTGTTAGTTAATTTTGTTACAAACTCTAATTAACACGAAAACCCAACCCAATATTGACTATTAGTTTAAAATTTTAGTATATGTTGTAACATTGAAACCAAAATAAACTTATGTGTACGATTTTGTTTTGAAATATTAGTTTCCACCCTCTGGTATAATGTTTGTGTTCCCCCGCATATATATATATATATATATATATATATATATATATATATATATATATATATATATATATATATATATAAAAGAAGTTATGTTTTTGAAAATTCGATTTTTTACAATATTACTTTCTAATTTTTTACATATTCGTTTCCATGAGTATATTATGTTTTTTATTTTCATAAACCAAAATGCACTATTATCTATATTTAAACATGATCCTACTGTAAATTATATCATATCTAACAAGTTTTGATTCTTTTTCTTTTTCTACAAACTAAACTTGCATTTTCGCACTTTAGTGTGATAGGTGCATTTGGAATCATAATTGGTTTGTATGTCGTACTCTGGGGAAAAGCCAAAGATGTAGAAATGTTGAAAGAAGCAGAAGAGAAGAAGATATCACAAAACGATCAAATCAAGATTGCTCAAGTTTTGGTTGATGGATCCAACTTAGCTGAGCCCTTTTTGACCAAATAAAAAAAAAAGTGTAAACGGGTCATGTAACACCTATTAAGTGCATTATTAACACATACATAAGTACAACAAAAACATGTTAAAATTAAAGAACTTATGCCTCAGATTTTCATTTTTCTTATCTTTTTTTTTTTGTGAGAATACTAATTTATTTGTATATTAATTAAACGTTTATAGAAATGAGGACACACAATAAGAATTGGAAGTATTAGGGATGTCGCTTTTTGCGACGCCAGGATCAATAGCGGTGACACCAGACTAGACACCCCCCTTTCAATCATGACCATTTGTTTGGCAGATAATCCAACGAATAGGGTTTGTTCCGGTGGAAGGCAATAGAGACGACACTTCTAGAGGCGACATGTCGCCGCTATACGTGTCTATCCGTTGACCAACCTTGGACCAAATCCTGGCCCTACGATTCTCACCCGATCCAATGGTTGGTGATCCCCAGAAAGGGCGCGTTCGGTTCCCTCCAGTATGTCACCGCTAATAACCCCTTTGTCACTGCTATCAGGGTCGCCCCTTTTGTTCAACTTCGTCTTCCCAGACTCCATTTCATCTGTAACTTCAATTGCGACTCCGCTAAACTATCTCTCCGGCGAAAATTTGAAACAACACCGATGACACCACTGCTCTCCACCGCCGATTGACCTCCAAAGCCGACTCCACCGCTGGTATAACCTCCAAATCCAACTGCAACCTCAACTGCCGGCTGCACCTTTGATTTCGACTTGGTATCTCCGACGAGGTTTGTTTTCTCTATCCATTTCTCTTTCTCTTCTTAATAGAACACACATAACCACCACTGATTCCGATTACACTAATTTTTTTTTTCGTGTTTTTAAGTTCCAGCGTACCACCGAGTACAACTTCACCACCGAGTGTAGCTTCCTTTTTCTAGACAATAACAAGTTAGTTGGATCTGTGTCACTTCTGGATATGGATTGTATGCATGTAGATATCTTAATCATTGTATTAATTTTGAATGTATATGTAAAACTGATGGAAACTATTGACTGTGAAATTGATAGAAACTATTGCATATTAGTTTGATTATTTTGATATGTTTCAATTGTTTGAATGTATGTGTAAAATTGATGGAATCTATTGCCTGTGAAATTGATGGAAACTATTGTATGCAGGAACATGTTAGTTTGATTAGTTTGATATGTTTCACTTCCTGATCATGTATGAATTGATGAATTTATATGTAAATTGATATGTCTGGCTTATTGATCATGTATGAATTGATGAATTTATATGTAAAATTGATGTATATATATGAAACTATTATATGTTTATCGTGAATTTATATGTAAAAATTAAGTATGTTTATATGATTATTAGAAATATATTTTTTCTATATTAAAAAAATAAAATAAATAAATCTAATACATAATTTTTTTCTATAAACTAATAAAGAAACATTGGTTAAAAAAGTTTTTAAAGGAAAAAGAAGAAGTAAAATAAACCAATATGTTAATGTGATACTAAAAAAGAAAGAGAGGACAAAAATGTTTCTTAAGATTAGATGTGAATGTTTACACAATGGAAAGTTATTATTAATATCTTTTCAATTTTAGTTATTATTATATTATGATTTTTCTTATTACATAATTATAAGTTTTAATCATTATAAGAAATATGAAAGAATTAAGTTGATATGAATATAGATTGAGATTTGCCTCTTTCATTTTTTTCAATTTGAGATGTTTTCTCACTTGCAATTGCTTCAACGAATTCCGCTTTTGCTAAATCCTTCAATTTCATTATCTCTAATACATAATTTTTTTCTATAACCTAATATCATTTATGAAATATATTTTATATATTTAAAAAAAGTCATAGTACAGTTTATAAAATACAAATAAAAACATTTTATGATTTAAAACATTAGTGAATATATATATATATATATATATATATATATATATATATATATATATATATATATATATATATATATATATATATATATATATATAGGGTTAGGTTCATATGAGACGACCTAATTTTGTAAAACCGTGAGACGCATTTTTTTATTTTTTTTATTTTTTTAGTTAATTCAAGTTTCGAAAATAATATTTAAAAAAAGAATTTTTTTGATTTTTCCATTTATTTTGCATTTTAAAATTATTTTTTAAAATATGTATAGTGTAATATTCTATTAGAATATTTAACAAATTTGAAAAAAACGATTTTTTTTTTATTTTCTTTAGTTAATTCAAGTTCCGAAAATACTATTTAAAAAAAGAATTTTTTGATTTTTCTATTTATTTTGCTTTTTAAAAGTATTTTTAGAATATGTCAGTGTAATATTCTATTAGAATATTTCATGTATTTTAAAAAAAAAAAATAGGATTTTTTATATATTTTTTATATTTTATATTTTTTTAGTTAATTCAAGTTACGAAAATAATACTTAAAAAAAGAATTTTTGGATTTTTCCATTTATTTTGTATTTTAAAATTATTTTTAGATTTTGTCTCACGGTCTTACAAAATTAGAATGGTCTCAAATAAACCTTAAATTATATATATATATATATATTAACGACAATAAAACCAACTATTTTCAAAAAAGATTTAGATATAATCAACTTTCATATTTTTTTTATATAATCAACTTTGATATTCAGTTATAACATATTTTTTAATGTTTATTCAAATATAATATATCTTTTAATGTTAAATAGAATTTGAATAGACTTGAAGTATTTTATCGTATGCATGTAAATAAAAAGGGGAATTAGTTGATCATTTGGTTGAAGAGCAATATGTAAGTTATTATTACTTAAAACTAAAGTAGAACGTTGTCTTTTTTTTTGTGTGTGTGTGTTTGTGTTATTTTTAACGTATATTAACAATCTTTGTGAAATACAGGATGTCTTAGTTGCTGAGATTGCTCTACAAACTCATCACATAGCTGACTCTGGTGGTGATCCAGACACCATTGATTGGATCGCAATATTTTAGAAGGTTTTGGGTACAAGAAGGGGGGCATGTGAGAGGTATTGGGCCTAAACCTTCTTCAGTTGCTGGTACAAGTGTTCCATCCCAATGAGAGTCAGAATCACAATCACAAGCACCGCAACCAACACAGTTACTTGTTAAATTCTTAAAGAATTTAGTAGCTTTTTTATATTGTTTAGAATTTGATGTATTTGTAGTAATTTTTCGTAGCTCGATAGTTTGTTAAATTAGAAAAGACTTGAGTGATTTGGTTGTTTAATAGTTTCTTAAATTTTAATGATTTAATTCATTTGGTGCATTTGATGATTTTATAGTTTGTTAAATTGTTAATGACTTAATGTGCTTGTGACTTAATTGTAGGATGTTGATGTTAATGCTTTTCTTCAAAACCCAACATTTGTGACGACCATTGGAGACATTATCTGCTTGTTTAAAAAGCAAGTCAACAACTAAAAAAACAACGATGGAGAAGATGGAGAAAACGAAGACATATAATATTTTTTGTTTTATGTTATGAATGATGTTATTTAGATAGTTCATGGATTATATATGAGATGTTTATTTGAAATTTATTAGATAGTTTATGGATGATATATTAGATGTTTATTTGAGATTTCTTAGATATGTAATATTGTAAATTTTATATTTTATGTAATGCGGTATGTATTAATTGATGTATTTTTATAAAATCTGCATTTCGTAATATATATATATATATATATATATATATATATATATATATATATATATATATATATATATATAAACTAATATCATAAAAAATATATTTTTCTCAAAAAAAAAAAAAAAAAAAAAAAAAAAAAAAAAAAAAAAACGTTAGTGGTGACACCTTTAGGGACGACGTGGACCAATTGCGACGACACACAACTACGGGAGGCTTTGTCGGAAAAACAACGGACGGTGGCCAGAATATCAATAGAGACGACGTCAATAGCGACAACATAGGAGTATTCGAGACGATAGTATTTACGACAACAAATGAGTATTAGCTACGAGACAATAGTGACGACCCTTTAGACACGTCATGTCGTCGATAAATGTATTAGCGACGACACGGGGCATCAATTGCGACGATTTTTGTCGCCGCTAAAGGTTACATTTTTTTGTTGTGACAACGTCACTAAGGGCGTGTTTGACAAAAGTAGCTATTAGCTGGAAGCGGGTAGCGGGTAGCTGGTAGCAGTTAGCGTGTAGCGAATAGCTGGTAGCGGGAAACTGTAACTTTTATTTTATATATGAGTGTTTAGCAAAAGTAGCTTGAAAATTTTAAAATATATAAAATTACATAAAAGGACAATTGATTAAAAATAAATAAATATATAAATATATTATTAAGGGTAATTATGGAAGTTGATTTCAAAAGCTCAGTAGCATTTTGTTAAACGCTACATGAAGTAGCTTTTCGATTTAGAGCGTTTTGTTAAAATTAAAAGCGAAACGCTTGTACTGCCAAACACAAATTTTTGTTTAACTAGAACGTTTTGTCAAAAAACTAAAAGCTAGAAGCACCCAAACTCTTCCCAAAGCTCTGTGCCAAACACACCCTAAGTAAATAGTAATTAAGTTTAAAAGTTGTCACATCTAAGTAATTAAATCCGTTTTGGTTTAACTACTAATGTATGGGTCAGAGGTAAGGCATTTTAAAATTAAAATTTCATACCTTTTCGTGACTTATCTATACAAATGTGATTTCAAAAAACATCGAAAGGGAAGAATCGGTTGAGTTTTCTAAAGAAGAGAACGACAAGGGTTTACTGGATGTACTAGTAAGATGATTGTGCAGGGAGTAGCTTCACTAGTTGAAAGCGGAAGAAGGCATATTGACTATATCTTTATAGCATGAGCGAGGTGGTGATTAGTGTCGATTTAGGTCGCTGTAACGATAGCAGATGGTGGGAGTGGTTGGTGATGTTGGAGGTGTAGGGTATGTGGGTAGTGATTGACGACTGAATATAGAGCAGAGGAGTGGGCAGTGGAGAAAAGTGTATGATGATTATATAAATGGCCAAGAAGATTAAAAAGGTGTAGATTACAGGGCGGAAGAAATGATGACACGAAGGGGAGGTTGTTGGGCAGGATAGGGAATGGGTCAAATAACCAACAAAATTGTTTAAGATGTATGTTGACCAATTCAATTTGTTGAAATTAAGGAATTTTGGTTCAATTTTGATTGATTCACAAGATTTTTTTGCAATGCATAAAGTTGTTGTAAATGTTGTTTTATGTGGTGTACTTCTTGTTATTTGATCATATTTTATAACACGTTATCAGCACGACTCTACCATATAGCTCTAACTCCTTATTGGTCTTGTCATTTTCAGGTATGTATTTTTTTATAATTTTACATGTACAATGCTTACAACTTATTTTATGAAATTTCTTAACTAACAATTCCTTACATTACAAGTCTTTATTTTGATTTCTATTTTCATTATGGAAAATAATGCTAGAGAAAACTTTCTCTGGTTTTCATACTACTAACATGCTCCTGCAGTAGCAATATCATGAGAAATGTTTAAAATAAATATGAATTAATATCATGTCTTCTTGTGGCTAAACAAAACAATGAGTTATTGATGAAAAATTATCAATCAATCTCGACCGGTTCTAGTACATTCCCTGAAGTGAATGCAACTCATATAATCATAATAGTCATGAGTCTAACCGAGGTCATGGAGGTTATCATAATTATCATAAAAATAACAAGATTACAAGTAACCACCAGAAGTTGGAAAACAACAAAAATCCACATCCTAATGATAAAAGTGGTAGAGGCAAAAAAAAAACGAAAATGTTTATCACTAATGTGGAATGACCGATCATTAGTCTTGTACATGCCGCTTACCAAAGCATTTTGTTAATCTTTATCAAGATTCTCTAAAATATAAAGAAAAATATCAAAACAAATTTTATTCAAAGTGATATCCATGAAGATCAACCAGAAATGACACATTTGGATGTTGTCGATTTTCTTGTCTACCCAGAAGGGACAAGTGGTGATATGAATGGTGATTGGAGAATAATGTGTAGTTTTGTTTCATGACATTTATTATGTTTTTATGTCATATTCGTTTCATGAGAAATGATGTCGTCACAATCTTCCCAAATTAATAAAATATGACTTTATTCCT